TGGCTATCCATATTGAGAGGCTTGAAGAGTGGACTGGGTGAGACGGAGAGGATATGCATATTTCCAATTGTGTTTGACAGAGCTAGCCCAGAAGTTAGGTCACACCATGTCTTCAGACATTATCCCTATACCCTCCACCTGCCACAAAATGCATGGTAAAGTGATCAGGGAGCACATGTAACTCGACACGCTCCCCTTTCCATATTTACTACCGTTAGTGTTAAAGGTAATTAAATGGTGCAACTGAGGAAATGAAATGTGGGCTCAAACAGAAAGGAAGTAATTCTTGAGTTTTTTCTCTGACAGAGAAAGTCTGTGTGATTAAAAATTACTATGACACACCCTCTACCTCTTCCCCGACCTACTGGCAATCCCTGTCCCCTTTTCCTTTCTCCTCCTCCCTCTTTTACCTGTCTCCCTAGGTGGATGTGTGTCTCTGGTGTGTAGGGGTGTGGACAGGTGCGGTGATTCTGGCAATCACCTGAAGTGCTTTCACCAGCGGTGGGGCATAGTCCACTCTGTTCACCTCATGCTCTCTTCCCCATCAGTACTGGCTTCAGACCATGGCATGATGCTGGACTGTAAACTATCACCATTTGGACCATCCTTGCTGCCTTCATTCCTGACCCTTGCTTCTGAATCCAGGAGCTTCTTCTAGAACAGAGGCAGGACCACCTCAATCTGCCTCTGTTCTGGAAGAAGCTCCTGGATTCATTCTCTGCCATCCCGCTGCACCTGTCCACCTGCCATCTGCCTCGCCACCAGCCACGTCATCCACCTATCCCTTCTCTGTCAGTAAATCTCAGTCTCCCGCTGTGTCCAGTGTTTGTTTAATTGTAATAGTAGTGTAACATCTGTGTTTCACTTTTTGTGCTAGTTCATTCCTGCCTCAATTAGTACTGTAGTTGTACCCTCCACCTGTTTCTGTTGTTTAGTATCTGTATTCTAGTGTATTTAGTCTTCGTCTGTTGGTATCTCTCGTGAGCGGCAATTTATTCCGCTTCTGATTCTGCTACCATTACCTGTTTAAGAACTACAGTTACTGCTGACCCTCCTGCTTCCTGGTGTAAATTTTGTAGATAGCTATTTGTGGTGTTTGTTTTCTTGTTTGTTACCTTTTTGTAGTAGTTCTATTTTTTCACTTGTGTATATATCTTGCATGTTTTTGAAATACTGTTATTTTTTGATAAATAATCTTTGCTTGAAATATGTGATCTGCTGAGCCTCTGTATTTCATTTTGTATGTCACAGATCAAACAGGGACTTGAAGACAGTAGGTTAGGTTGATTTGGTGCACACACAGCATGTATTAGGTAGTGGATGCGAGTGCATCAGCACTAAATATCTGGGACAGTGGCTATGACTTGTCGACAGCATGAAAACATAATTGATAAGAGTGTTTTGAGAAAGACAACTGTCTGCTCTTCCCTTCTTCACTGAGGACACTTTCTTTACATACATGTTGCACTGCCTGCACTTAAAGAGTTTAGTGAAAGAGTCTGTTAGTCAAACACATTTCAGTGTAATTTTCTTGTTCCCTTATTGAAATTCTTGTAGTTGTATCTTAGTATATGTCTGTTTGTATAAGACTGCTGGCTTTAAAAAGCCTTAAAGTGTATTACTGCATTTTGAAATGAAGATTATCTTTGACAAGCTGTGGTTCACACTTTAGGATTATTTTCTGTTTACTTGCATAGTTTTGTCAATCATTGCAAAGGTTGCTCAAAATTTTATATTTTCTTAAATCAAAGTGGGCACAAACCACTTCCTCATACATTTGTTTTGCATCGCAAACCCCAGAGATTTCAGACACGTATTAATCATTCAATAATTAATTACAAACTTTCATTGCAGCTCACAGACCCACTTGGTGGTTACTGTTGATGTGCACTTTCCCTGGGTTAAAAGTAACAACGATGACATTATATAAATATTTTGTGGCATATATAATAACTTAATATGAACATAGATGTTGCGCGAAAGCAAATAAATACTGAGACTGTAGAGTTATTATGGTTATTTACATGAATTTTGTTTTTATCAGTGACATCACAATTTTGTAATATTTCAAATATTATAGTGAATATGCTGTTTTTACAGAGTGTATATAATTCTGAGATTCTGGTATATAAATTTTTTATTATTATTTTTTTTTTCATCTGATTGCTACCAAGTGCTTGATCATGGGGTTATTTGTTGGGTTTTTCGCTGCAATATTCTGAAGTCTTTGCAATACTGTGCTTAAAACTGAGATATTTTATGGTTTTACGCTATTCAAAAAAACGAAATTGAACTGAATGAAGTTCTTGTGTTTGACCTTTCTCTGTAATATTTTTTTAAAATATATTTTTGCAGTTTATGGTGACCTTTCTGTCAGTTGGTTTTATAATAATGCCCTAAGACTATAATGACAATGTCTTTTTGATTTGACTGTGGTGAGTTTCTTTCATTATTAGTTTTTGTACTGATATGCTCTTCCATAGACTATTTGCCATTTTGTTGTTATAGGGGTTTCTGAGTAAAAATTAGAGTTTTTACATCATGGGATGCAGCTTTCTGCATGAGCTCTGACCCATATTTCATAGGGATATGCGTTTGTTTCCGGCAACCTTCGAAACGCATTTATCATCAGCACTGTCGGCAGGCTGAGTGAATTAGGTCTGTTAGGACGGCGCTCACATGCGCTGCAAGAGAAGATAGCTACAAAAAAAAACAACCCTCCACTCTCGGTTTGCTTGTTTTCCTCCGGTGAGTAGTTATATTTTACAATGTACTTCTATGCTGCATAGAATAAGATGAAGGCTGTTTTTAAAACAAACAGTCCTTTGTCACGTTTAGCTGTATAACCACAGAAAATGTGATATAAAGGGGGTTCAGAGGAAAGTGCATGTTACTGCTGTTTTTGCAATCTAATTTTGAAATGGAAAGTTATTTGAGACATAGTTCCACGCATACACATATGCAGAAAGTCGAGTGGATTACTGCGCAATGGAAATGCAACGAAATACGCGGGGTCGACACGTTATTTTTGTTTAATTTATTCTATTTGGTAAAGTACGCGACAGGTGTTGTCTAGTATTTTTTCACACTGGAAATATCAATATAAAACAATTATTTACCCTATTGTTATTGTTTTTTTTTTGTTTGTTTGTTTTACCATCTCAAGAGCCAAGCTGAAAGACGATTTGAAAGACAGAGGGCCTAACACAGAGGCCCGGTACAAAGGCAGGCTGCTTCACACCAATCTGTTCCCAAACATCATGTCCTTTTATCAGTGCGCTTATACATTACAGCATAATATTGTGTCCTTGAAGTGAAAACTAAAATGGTAAATATAGATAAAATGCAGAGAGCGTATTTTATTTGGGGATGCTGAGACAACGTTTGCCAACAAAAAGACCCTTTTATCTGACAAATTAAAAGCCACTTCTCAAATAAGCCTCCCACAAAATATGATCCCCGGCA